AATGAAGCCATGTTGAGAGGGGTCAATGCGACCTTCCCTGAGTAAGTGATCAGGTAGTTGATCTTTTATCACTTTCTCCATCACACGTGATATAACTGGAGTGATATTAACCGGTCTGTAGTTTTGGATTAAGTCTTTCGGTCCAGATTTATGTACTGGGACAATATGAGTCAACTTCCACGATTCGGGGTATGTACCAGACTCAAGGGATAAGGTAAAAATTTTAAGCAAAAGCGCTGGAAGGTTCGGTCCTGCCATTTTAAAAAGTATGGAAGGTATCTCATCCACACCACAGCTGCCATTGGGTTTAAGGGTTATAATTGCCGCTTGAATATTGTTAAGATCAAATTTGATGGTAAAAAGATTATGCATACTGATACAGTTAGTATTAGTATCAGGGGTAGGAGATGTGCTCAGAGTGAGGGAGAACCATGTACTAAACAGTTCGCAAATAACAGCTTCGTCATAATAAGTCTGTCCATCTTGTAGTATATAATGAATTTTGCGATCTGAGTCCTTTTTTATGCGTTTGTTAAGCAAACGACAGAGGTTTCGGGGACTTACTCACAGTAGCGAGAGCATTATTTTCTTCGATTTGCCTACGCACTTCATGTTGATATTTTACACCTTCAAGTATAGCGTAAATTTGGTACAGGATGCTGAAGTCCTTAGATTTGCAATACGCCCGTTTTAGTTGACGTAGTTTAGCCCTAGCTTTGTAGGTGATATAAGGAGTAACTGTTTTGAAAGACGTTTTGAGTGGGATAGTAGTGTCTAGAGCAGATTTGATGGTGACGTTGAATATATGTAATGCATCAGGAAGTTCAAGACAAGAAAAAAACGCAGTCCAGTCTGAGTGCTGAATTAGAAACCGAAAGCTGTCCCAGTCAGCATGTTTATAGTCTCTGTATTGAAAACGGTTTACTGTTTTAGATTTGTCACATTTAGCAAAAAATGGAAGGGTACAGAGGACAATTTTATGGTCACTGTTGTGAAACGTTTCGCAGACAGACACAGATGTTGGGGTGACATCCTGACAAAATACCAAATCGAGGATGTTGTGGTTCCTAGTAGGCAGGTGCACATGTTGTTGCCAACCATGTGTGTCTAGGGGACCAAGTAAGATATCGAATCGTAGTGCACCGGAATGTGTTCGCCAGTTGATTCCAGGGAGGTTGAAGTCACGACAAATAATTTTGCAGGTGAATTTAAGACAGGCAGCCCTGGCAAACGACTCACCAATAGCAACGTCAACCGATCGATGAGTGTTTGGAGCTCGATATATGCATCCAACCAGTATTTTACATTCATGGGAGTGCACAGTCAGCCATATCGAATCAGGCACTTGATTTAGAACAGTATCATAAAACATTTCTGCTTTGATGTCTCTAGATACATAGATGAGGTAACCACCACCCTTTTTAGATCCTCGGTCACCGCGAAAGAATCTATTACAAGGTGTAGAATCCTTTTTGAATGTTTTGTGTTTTGGAAAATCCCTCCATGTTTACATATTTTTGATATGACATGACGGACTTTTTCTGTTGACATTTTTGGTATTTTATTTGATTCCAATTTGAGATTTTATCATTGTATATTGTTATTCTTTCTATATATTTGTACTTATATTGAAGTTTTTGTGTTTGCTTCTGATCTGTATATATGTTGTTTAAATTTGATCTTTAATATGGCTACAGCCATATTTGGATTGATGCAGTGGCCGCTGGACTTAGCGTCACTTATCTAACACTGTTTCTGATACTCTTCGGAGTAATTGTATCCTGGAAGAGGCACTATTTCCAGGTAATGCTTTGTATTTCCATGTTTTTATTTAAATAAGACGCTTTCTCCTAGAATTTTTGTCCTTTTTGATTTGGTTGGGACCCGGGACTAGGAGAATCGTACAGGAGTGCCCCTATTGGAACCCATTGGAACGGCCACTGTAGAAATTCATTTACACAAGGTATGAGTCAGGGACATCGGAGGACAACCAGCTTTCAGTAATCAGGACAATGGAAGGATTGTTTAGAAGTACTAGAGAGCGTAAGTGGGTAATCTTATTAATAACAGATCGGGAATTATTTAGCATTAGTGTAACATAGGACGAATACTCATCTTTCAGGGATGCACGATGGGCATCTGGAGGGTTGTATGTTGTGTATTCTGAAGAAGGGCTGGAAGTAGGAGTATAGGCTTGATTATTATGGTCAGTTAATTTGGGAGCGATATAGTTAGAGGGAGAAAGGTATTCAGAGACAGGCATGGTGAGAGAAACGTGTGAGGTAGGATATGATAAGTGTTGTTCGTCAGAGTTAACTGATGACCCCCAAAGAACAGATGAGGAAGTCGCTAGGGGGCATAAGGGTGGATCGTTTCTCAAGTCCATTGGATAAGGTATAGTGGAGTAAGTCAAATCTTTGGACAATGGGAAAGGTGGTTTGTCAAAAGGACCATACATAAAGGTATTACAGCTGGAAGGGGAAGACAGCGGCAAAGATCTATTGTCATCCATCACATCACAGAATGCAAAGCATGACTTGAAGGAGGGGGAAATATCGCCCTCAACAGCTGGAGGTAGAAAAACAACTCTGTTGAGGGGGTGAGCGTTAAAAAAGGGTTAGGTACATGTTGTGGAGAGACTGAAGAATTGCAAAAGGAATTTCGGCTAGTTTGGTGTCTAGGAACATTGGGCGGATGACCAAGCAGGCTAGTGTTACGAGATATCTCAGCAACTCTAGGCATCCTAATCTTTTTGTACTCAATCAAGGGTAAAGGCTTCGGGTTAGAAACGGGGAGGCGCCTACGGTTAGAATTTAGGGAGGTATTTATGGTATGAGTGTCTGTATTCTCAAGAGTCCTAGGGTTTAATTTTAGAAGTATAGTAGCGTCCCGAGTAGGAGAGGTAGGGGGCAGGCATTGTTGTTTATTAGGTATGTTAAGTACTGAAGACTGACGGTTAGGGCGAACACCTGCCAAACGAATAGATCTCTAATATTACTGTTATCTGTATTCAAGGATGATAATCTCATTATTCGATTATTCTTGTCAATTTTCATTTGGATTATTTGTGTAAATGTATATTGCTTTCATTTGTGCAGACACACAAGAGAATGGAGAGCGTGCAAGCTAAACGAAGCGAGCTGGAGAAGACGAGTGAGCCAACTCTCCGTGTGACTGAATATTTATAGTCAGGTAATGATAGGTTAGACATGTAATAAGTGAATAAGCATGTACACACAGTCAAACATAATGCTCGTTACTGTAATCGAATTATTACGAATACAAAAACATGGTCGATGCCATTATCGAATAATTTAAATGACTAATTACTGAAGTACAGTGATTGAATAGTGAGATGCTACAGGGTGATCTGCATCGAGGTTTGTGAACATAGTTGTGTTTGATGGGTATATGGCATCAAAATTTTTAAGATGTCTTTTATCTACCGAGATCCTCTTAAAATTTATTTTATTTATTACTGAAAGCCTGACTAATTAAATGTAACATATTTCCTTCGGGTTACAGTAAAGTAGCGCTGTAGTGAGAGTGGGGTAATTAACACAAATAACCTGAATGTTCAGACATAAAACTGAAACCTCGTAAGAAATGATTTTCTCAAGACATGCCTGCTTTACGTACTAAACAAACCGAACGTCTCAAGATACATCATGTTTTCATAACAATGTCCTCATTTAATGTGATACATTTCTATCTGTGAAGTGCCTTACCCTAGTCTGAGAAATCATCCCTATGCTGAGTAATTCCCAAACATGTTTACTCAGATGTAGAAAACTTTTTCAGAATTGGTAAAGTGATACCCAATCTGGTCGCACGTGAGACTATTAAGCTCATCGCAGAGCGTTTGGGCTCCCATGGCTTTAATAAATTTGACAGATAGTAGCCTTACCTCTATGTGAGCTGACAAGTGATACTTTGTCCTCAAGTTGTGAAACAATTACCACTCGCTTCTATCTCAATTTGCTAAGGCCCCTACTGGAATCAGATAGATGTGCTTATTTCTTGATGTGCGAGAACAGTCTCACACAATGACCAGTAGCCTGTATTTCCGTCAAAAGATAGATCAAAATTCCGGTTGCAATCAAAAGTAATGGTGACTAATGTCATCCTTCTGAACACAGATACTTGCTTTCTCTTTGACATAACGTCATTCTAGCAAAATGTTCGGAAATACTTCACACTTTATTGTGAATATCTGTGGAGTTTTAACAGTTTCCAAATAAAGGGATTATTAGAGATACTGACATTTGCTTTTAGCGACCTGAAGAAAAGGATTATGAATAGATTCTAACTAGAGAATCAAGCGCTTAAAGATTTCTTAGCTGCTCTCATCTTGATGTGTGGAAATATGTGAATATTGCTTCGTGGAGACGATCGTGGATATCTGAGGGGAATGGAGATTTAACAGGCGAAAAACCGGCATTTAAACCTCGTGTGAGAAATCCTGGGTGTGAGCGTGTTTTTGCCGTCTGCTCGTGATGCGGCGGAACTCAAACTGAGTTTCTAATGCCGCAAATCAGAACTTTGGATCGACTTGCGCCAGGGAGTTGGGCCAATACCAACTGCTTCCTAAAATTGTTTGCACAACTCCAATAAACTCAATTACACTTGGACGACTTAGAAAGCACACATAGAAAGTACAGATGTCGCGAGCAAATATTTTTTTCTCACCCGACCAGCCCATAGAATGAGTTTTGTCTGAACTTCAGTTACGCATTTCAGTAGAATACCAGGACACTTTGAAAAAATACTAACGAATTTTCGACCCATTTCTATTCCCAAGAGACAGACAAAAATGTGTGATCTGATACACTGGATCTCATTAAACTTCTTCCTATCTTGTTATGCGTGAAGAACACTGAAAAATATTGCTAATTTATAAAGATATCGGTGAATGGAAACTTTTCTATCTGGCATACAATTATTTTAATACGTTTTTTAGAATTTCATGAACAAGTTGTTAAGGTTATTATCATTTGGCAGCTCGATTTAACTGTCTTCGCTACAATCAGTCACGAGTGTTTAATATGGCCGAGTTCACTAGAGATCCCTGGTGTGTAAGGTTATTGCGTGGGTTATCCGTTTAATGCACGCATTCTTTCTCTGTTTAAATATTTTGGCTCAGGATGGTGTTTTACTTGGTGGTAATAATTATTGCAACACAAGTGTTCAAATCAGTCTACATGTATATCTTGTTTTATCATCTTGTGCTTTGCCTAATGATGGAGTTACATAGGATTATTTGAAACAGTTTGGGACGGTTTTAAAGTGTGCTTTGAGCAATTCTTTTTAGGTGTATTGTCCATTAGTTAGTCTGATCTAAGAGTGTCTTTTGCTCTGTTAGGTTTTAATTAATATTCACTTCATTTGATGACGAGCTTCCTAATTTTAAAGAATATCGATCATTTATCGCTCTTCATTAAATACTGGTCTCATCAAATAAATGGTCGTTGTTAGTCATCAATCAATTTATATGTTATTCTCGGCATTTTTTACTACTGCTGGTTGGGAAATTTAGTTGATTGTCAGATGTTTTTAAACTGCTAAACAAGTATGCAGAGACTCAAAAAAAATTTCTGTGGTACGTAAAGTATATCATCCAGAGTACTTCTATACTCTCCTATAAGTTGTGAGTTAAATATCAATCCCTTATGTTCGAATTGCATCTGGTAGTACTACTATGGCCATCTCTACTAATGCATGCACGTGACAGGTTCGGTAGTGCTTATGGTTGATGTACTAACTCAATGGGTTTAACTTTTGTTCCACTAGTTATTATTTGTATCGTTTTTTGACCAGTTTCGTGGTCATTTAACACCAGTTCTCTCTTAGAATAAATATCACTGTACTTTAAGCAGTTACTTATTGCAAATATTCTGACCTCGATACTTTTACCTATTGATTTACAAAGGCTACGATTTTAAAAGCGCATCCCAGTGAAATAAATGTGGTAAGAGAAGAAAGGTCATGAGGAATTTGGATTAGGATTTTAAAGAGAACGAAGATGCACCTGCGCCTGTGCAAATGATCTAGAGCCATGTCATTCAAAGTCTCTAACCATCGATTACTATCATCTCGAGGACCACAACCAACACGACTCAGCCCACTTGTCAGTGACTTAGTGTGTTTGTGTCATGTTTTAGTTTGGCTACTTCTAGTTTTCTTCCCACTTTTTCCTAAGCCGAAAATAGCTTGACGAAGCAGCCGGCGGTTGGGCACTTGTATCACATGTCCTAAGCACTTCAACTCATGAAGTTTCACTACTTCATCTATTGATCCGCCATCCTTACCTAGTACCCGTTTCCTAACAAGAGAATCGCTTACCCGGTTGTCCCATGATACATGAGCAATGCTTTGGAGACGCGTGTGATCGGAAACCAGCAACCTACGAATCTCCTCCTTATGCTTAAAGTTAGTGTTTGCTAGATATAGGCCATTATCTGAGCATAGCTGCAGCAGACGGTCGCCATTATCTGTTCTTTAAGCCGCGACACCATAAGATCCACCCAGGTGTCTTTCCTTTTCACTGAGTCTACCTACTTGAGCGTTAAAGTCACCAGCCATTATTACTATATCAGAACGCCTAACTTTTAGAAGTTTAGAGGTTTCTCTAAAACCTATATTTTACGTCGTCTAAACTGCAGTTAGTGGGAGCATAGGCGGATACAATGAAGAGGCAACGACTATTGTCTCTATCCGAATCCTTGCTGTCCCGTTCAGTAGGACAGCGCACAAAGCGACTGTCTACGGGGATACAGTCTAGGAGAGCTAGTTCTGACCTACTCCTGCAAGGCCTCGAGAAGTAGCATCGGGGCTTCCAGAAACACGAAGCGTAAACCTTGTTGTGTCTCTATCTGCACTAGATGAAATCAAATTGATGGTTTTACTCTGACCTTGTATGCGCGTTTCGGAGACACAACATACATCGATCGCCCGGAATTCCCGAGTTCTAGCTAATGAAGCCTGTTGCCCTATTTGGCATATGGTTGGAACATTAAAAGCTCCAATATGTAATTTAGTACGGGGTTAGAAGAGACCAGGAATAATGTTTCGTGAGCTCAAATCGTTTGCTTCAGCAGTGCGAGGTGACGAACGATCAAAAGAAAAGTTGGCCGGGGAGGTAAGAGAGTAATTAAGAGGTGTAGAATGGATTTGATTGTAACCAACTCGGTCTTGTTTGCTTTTATGGGTATGAGAGCGGATGTTACTTCCCGGCTGCCCACACCATGAATTGGTTCTGGTTGTCAGAAGGGGCGTCGGCCTCGTGACTTCCGAAGGAACTCGGTTCCATCATGAGACGTCATGACTTTTCTAAATGAAGACCAAACTCCCAGAGCAGAGTTCATATGATTTGACTTGTTTTTTCTTGTTAGCGATTTTTTAACGAGTTAGTTTGCGGGATAGGATCGTCAACCCCAATCCCAACCCTCCTCCTTTATCCGGGCTTGGAACCGGCAGTAGCCCCGAAGGGTCTACAGGCAGAGCCCAGGGCCCAAGTGACAACTCCTTGAGATAGGTCATACATGGCCTTACTACCGCCGGAGACGGAAACCCGTTAGGTAAGGTGAAGTTTGACATTTTTAAGGTCGACCTTTTCTACCCATTTCTTCAGAGGCAGAGGCAGCATCTCTGCAGATGCTGGTTGTCTGAGGGAAACACCTTGCTGCTGTCACACCCCTCTGCAGTCAGCAGTACGACTTCGCCCGCAGACCTTGAGTAGCTGCTTTTAGTCTCATCGTTCTCCAATCAATCTGCCTGGCATGGTAGAACCTTGAGGAACATATGTTCCAGCCAATATAACTCGGTTTGTAGTGAACGAGAACACAGGTGGGGCAACCGAATTGTATTTAACGAAAATTACAGAGTTACTCAGTAAAATTGGAAAACCATATCGTAAATCGTTCATTTGCAAAATAACAGTTCATCATATCGAACTGGACTGTTCCTGTTGCAAAACATCAATCCATTGTCACTACTGTTCATGCGTTTTATACAAATTCCATTGTTTTCTAACTCTTCCTTTCTTGATCTTACCCCATCTTCGGCTGCCAGACATTACGTTGACGCTCACGTCATATACTACTTATAAGTAGCTCGCACCACAGGTTGTGTCATCACGATAGGCAAGCCCGACCACCACGTCAAGGTAGCAGCTACGGTCGGGTTAGGTCGAATAGGAAAGAGTATCGATACCTGTGACACCTCACCCTACCTCGCGGATTTCCGTCTCTGGCGGTAAGGGTGCCTACTAAGGGCCTTTGAGAGCGAAGCTAATACTCAAAAAACCTTTCATAAAAAGGCCGTGCGTGACCGGCCTCAAGCAGTTGTCCCCTGGGCTCTGCGGTCACGCTCCTAGGTCTCCAAGACCAACACTAATCTATCTTTTTTTTCAGGTCCCTCAAGTAAAACCTTCCATGGTGTGGGCAGCCGGGAATTGACAACCGCCCTAATATCCCTAACAGCACGAGAGACCAAATTGATCGAAATCAAATCCTTCCTACACCCAAACATACCTCTCTTCTCTCCACAACTGAATCTACTCACAGTCCCTTATCTCTGCACCGCTAATGCAAACGATGCGAGTTCACGAAACGCCATTCGTGGTTTCTTGAAACCCCGATCTAGGCTACATGTTGGAGCTTTTAATGTACGGACATTGTGTCAAATAGGGCAACAGGCATCATTAGCTAGGACTTTAGAATCTCGTTCCATCGATGTATGCTGCGTCTCGGAAACGCGCATACAGGATCCTATTAAAATTACCTTGTCAAAATAATAGAGCAACTCAATTTACTCTTCGTGTATCTGGAAGCCTTGATGCTGCTTCCAGGGGTTTTGCTGGCGTAGGCATAGCATTGAGTCGTAGAGCTGAACAATCTCTCCTAGACTGGATCCCAGTAGATAGTCGCTTGTGTGCTGTCCGACTAAACGGAACAGTAAGGACTCGTAAAGATAGGGACATTCGTCGTTGCCTCCTCGTCGTATTTGCCTGACTGACTGCAGTTCAGACGAGATTAAAGATGCGTTTTACAGAAAGCTTTCGGACCTCCTCCAAAAAGCTAGGCGCTCTGATGTAGTAATAATGGCTGGTGACTTTAATGCTCAAGCGAATACACTCAGTGAGAAGGAGAGACACCTGGGTGGATCTTATGGTGTCGCGGCTAAGAGAACAGATAATAGCGACCGTCTGTTGCAACTGTGCTCAGATAACGGTCGATTTCTAGCAAACACTAACTTTAGGCATAAGGAAAAACATCTTTTGACTTGGTGACCCCCAAAGTCGTCTCAACGTCGGACCCAACTAGATCACATCACTATAAGTCATCGGTGGGAAGGCTCTGTTGATGACTGCCTCTCATTCTGGGGCACATGTTTAGATTCAGATCATGCCCTAGTGCGAGCGCGTATTTGTTTGAGGCTTACTGGACGTAGGAAAGACACCGCGAGGAAGCCTCTTCGGGTTTCACTTAATGATAATAAAGCTATGAATATATTTCAGGAGCAACTAGAGTTAGGCAACCATGTAAGCGATTCCCATCCGGAGGCAGGTTGGAATGATATCAAAAAGGCTGTGGAAACAGCAGTGATATCTGCTAGTAAGGTAAACTACAAGACTAGGATGAAGCCGTCGATCTAAGTAGCATCCACCAACCTGATGAATGCTTGAAAACTCATCCCACCTGGCTCTGAACATAATGAAGAACGAAGTCAGCTTAGACGCAGGCTGATAAAAAGCCTACGCAATGACCGTAAACAGTGGTGGGTGGCGAAAGCAAAAGCGATATAAAAGACAGCGGCGATGGGTAACAGTAGGCAGCTATTTAGACTCATCAAGGAAACCGGTATTAGGAATCCTAGTGTGAGACTATTTCGGAAAAGGATGGGACTATTATTAATTGTCAATCCAGGAGACTAGACCGATGGGCAGAAAACTTTAGGGATCAGTTCAACTGGCCTCGAGCCACTTTTCAGTTACCCACGTACTCCAGTCGTCCTGAATGACAAATCGACGAAGTCCCCCTAGTCTTTATGAAGTTGAGAAAGCGTTAGGAAATCTGAAGCGAGGACGAGCTGCAGGTCCTGATAGACTGACCCCTGAGATATTTAAGGATGGTGGTCCAGTTTTAGCAGCTAGGTTGACTGAGATCTTTGGTAGAATTTGGGTACTGGACGTAATCCCATCCGACTGGTCTTAATCACTAATTGTCCCAATCTATAAGTAAGGACAACAGTCCTCTTGTGACAATCACAGAGGAATCAGTCTAACTAATATAGTTTCTAAATTGTTAGCCTCGGTTATACTTAGACGCCTTACTAGTGCTCGTGAAGAGCAGACTCGAGAAAACCAGGCTGGTTTTCGACCTGGACGTGGTTGTATAGACCGCATCTTCACACTACGACAGGTCCTGGAACACAGACACACATTTAGACGTCCGACAATAGTCGTGTTCCTGGACCTGCGAGATGATAATAATCGATGGCTAGAGACCTTGAATGACATGGCTCAAAATCGTTCGCAATGGCGCCAGTGCATTTATTCTTTGTGTTCTCTCAAATCCTAATCTTCTGGATTCTTCAACACCTCGTCGAGCTTTGTATTGTAGTGTAGGAATAGGTTGGAAGAAAGCTAGGGGCGGCCAGACCAAAACATGGCATAAATCCATGAAGTCATTGACTAGTGGACTTAGCCATGTCGGTAATTGTCGACTACCTGGTTGGGTCCGCGAGATGATAATAGTCGATTGTTAGAGACCCTGAATGACATGGCCTAAAACCGTTTGCAATGGCGCCGGTGCATTTATTCTTTGTGTTCTCTCAAATCCTAACCTTCTGGGTTCTTCAACCCCTCTAGTTTTGACTTTCTAAACTTATCTCACTGAATCATACTTCTTGAATAATATCTTCTAATCCTAACCTCTCCGATTACTTCTAATACCTTTACTACCTCTTCTACTATTGGATTTGAATTGACAATTATATCTCTGTGCTAATGTGGTATGGCGACATGAACTGATGTACTTACGTACGAAGTTCTACGTTGCAACTGACTGACTGACTGTCTTCCTGGACCTGAAAGCGGCATTTGACTCATTGGATCGTGAGGTTCTGTGTCAGTGTCTGTCATTGAAAGGTGTACCAAAGAAGTACATTAACCTCATACAAGCTCTCTACTCGAACACCACTGGTCGAGTGAGATATTATGACGAACTGTCATCGGAATTCTTTACTTCAAGTGATATCCGTCGGGGATGTCCACTTTCTCCATTCTTGTTTAATTTTATCATAGACATGCTCCTAGAAATAACCTTATCCTCGTCTGAATTTCAGGAGTAGACCTTCTACCAGGTGACTCGCTTATTGACTTAGAATATGCCGATGACATAGTCCTACTTGGTGAAGACGCTGACAAAATGCAGAGTCTTCTGACCACCCTAAGCAACAATGCAAGCATGTGCGCAAAATGCAAAATTTTGCTTCAAGATTTGGTTTCATCAGCACCTGAACTAGTGATAGGGAGTGAAGTAGTCGAGCGTGTTGATCGCTTCACTTATCTAGGGAGTTTCATCAGTGCTGACGAAGTCTCAGCTCGGATACAGAAGGCTCGATTGGCTTTTGCCAACCTGCGTCACTTATGGCGCAGGCGAGATATCCGTTTGCTGACTAAAGGACGAGTGTACTGTGCAGTGGTTTGCTCCGTCTTACTTTGTGGCTGTGAAACATGGCCACTGAGAGTAGGCGATATTTGTAGGTTACCGGTTTTTCGATCATAGGTGTCTTCGAAACATTGCGGCCAGACCAAAACATGGCATAAATCCATGAAATCAAGTGGACTGAGTCATGTCGGTAGTTGTCGACTACCTGGTTGGGTCCGCGAGATGATAATAGTCGATTGTTAGAGACCCTGAATGACATGGCCTAAAACCGTTTGCAATGGCGCCGGTGCATTTATTCTTTGTGTTCTCTCAAATCCTAACCTTCTGGGTTCTTCAACCCCTCTAGTTTTGACTTTCTAAACTTATCTCACTGAATCATACTTCTTGAATAATATCTTCTAATCCTAACCTCTCCGATTACTTCTAATACCTTTACTACCTCTTCTACTATTGGATTTGAATTGACAATTATATCTCTGTGCTAATGTGGTATGGCAACATGAACTGATGTACTTACGTACGAAGTTCTACGTTGCATCTGACTGACTGACTATTTGACCTAAATGTATAAATACGCATTTTCATTTAACGTTGTTGTGTTCTGATATATAAGAGATTTGGGAACAGTATTGGGGCTGTATTAGAATATCTGAATTTTAACATCGGTAGGATTTGAATATTTACTTAGTGTCTTTATAACAATATGTTGCTGTTAATATGAGCTCGGTTGCGTTATCACGATAGGCAAGCCCGGCCACTACGGGAAGGTAGCAACTACGTTTGAGGTCTAGTAGTATAAGCATTGTGTACACAATGTTCATTGAAAGTTCTGAAAGTTTTATTGTTGAATTTATCACTCACATATCTAATGCAATCATAACTTTTCCTATATTTTATTTGAAATCTTTTCCAGTCCATTTCGTATCGTCAGTGATTGTGGGGCTGCGTTTGTCATGGGTACGATCGGTGGTAGTGTCATACATTTCTACAAAGGTTATCGTAACGCCCCTTCGGGTTATACAAAAAAACTAGTAAGCGCATTGGCTAACAGTCGTCAGCGCGCACCAATTTCGGGTGGCGGGTTCGCTATATGGGGTGGAATGTTTACTGCTGTTGATTGTTCCTTAGTTTTTGCTCGTCAGAAAGAGGATCCTTGGAATTCGATCACTAGCGGAGCGATAACTGGAGCTGTTTTAGCCATTCGTCATGGTCCAACAGCTATGGTCGGCCAAGCATTAGTCGGTGGAGTTATTTTGGCAATTATCGAAGGGCTCGGAATTATGATGAATAGATTCGCTCCTATGCTCATGCGTAAGTTTACTAACCATACGTATGTAAATAAATGAAAATTTTTTATTCTCTTTTAATTTAAAAATGCTTACTTTGAGGCTTTCTTTGTGGATACACACAAGCCATAGTTTACATCTTAGTTTCAAGACAGTTGCTGTATTCATCAGGATTTATCAGGCACCTCAAGATCGCACATGTAATTAGCTTATAAGTAAATAGGCGTAAAATTGCTGTACATCGGCACAAAAGATTCGTAGTTCACACAATTTAATGGTTTTTACAAATATTGTTGGATGTTTGTATGCTTGCTGTAAACTTTGAGACAGTGCAGCAAATTCGTAGCTCAGGTGAATACTTATGGTGAAGTTTCATTCTCTGAACTGGATAATTTGGTTGTAGAGATTTCATTGTGAAAGCCTACCTGGACTTCGTACTGATGATGCTGTCCATAAGAGCAATGAAAGCTCCGTAACTAAACCGTCCAGCTATGGGAACGGAACTCCTTCATAATACTTTAAACTTCTTTGGATTAAAAATGACTTCACAGCTTAATGTGTCTTTCAAAGACAAGTATTTTCAACATTTTTTAAAATGATAGTGATAGATTCTCTAAGGAGACTGTTATGACTGCATTAACTGATACAGCACTTGAGCTAATGCAGTTTTTATTGGGGTTACAGCAAATCTGCAGTATTTAAAGAAATTTTCGCATATAAGAACTGTAGTAGTAGACAAAAATTGGTATAGGAAAGATCATTAAGATAGACTGAATGACTTTGTGGAATAAAGGATATAAATAATTTTGTAACTCAAGATCTAAGGAAGGACAAGGCATAAATGTATCAGTGTCATTTTAAGCAATTCTGATTTATTTCTTTTAAAATCTTCAACTATTGGTCATGATAATCACTTGGACCCCAACCAGGTAGCTTACATTTACGGTAATTTCTAAGGTCATAATTTTGGTTTATTTCCCCTAATTTTACCACATACGTGGTGCTCATCTCATCTATCCTTTTTAACTCATTGATTCAAACAACTGAGTTGGATTCAGTTAATTTCTGTAAACTTTTGATTACCGAATAACAGTTTCATGCGCCGTACCACCCACGTGTAGTTTGACAAACCGTCACATTGTATGTATGATTCATAGGCGAATGCTTAAAATTTTAGATACGATTACGTGATCACTGATAAATAAAGAACATCTTTATCACAAAATCAACTCATAAATTTCTATCAGTCCTCAGTTTAAACTACCTTACTAGATAAGCCTTCACAATTCTTTATACCACATTAAATGATTGTTATTTTCTGCAAATTTTTATTTCTCTTTATTCTTCCTCGCAATTCTTTGGTTCACTTGACATTTCCGAGTTTTTTTCCCCATTTAATCTTGGGATGGCAGCATAGTAGTGACTGGGTATCCCGGTTTTTTTTGTTTCCAGTTATTTTATTTTTGCCTTCAACATCATCTTTATCATTAGCATGTTTTCAAGTAGACAGGATGGAAAATAAAACAGCTGAACAATTAATATATATTGTTTTCCTGAACCACATTTTCGAATCAGTTGACATGTACAACGTATTTTTTTTAATTTTCCCTCTCCACCTTTTCCTTTATCCTTTTTCTAAATGTTTATTTTATACGCACATGCACAATAAAACAAAGACGAAAAGAAGTAACAGCTGCTAGAAGTTTTTTCTACAAATTCTGCAACTATAAGTAGTTAGGTTTTTTCTATTGTTGTTTGTTTATTTCCTTGACAAAAGAAAAAAAGCAAATTATCCATCGTTCATTAGTATTTGCAGTAGTAACAGTAGTAAACTGGAGTAGTTATGGCGTCCAGCTTTCAACCATTAAGCCACTCCACCTCCTACTTCGGCTTGGGCAATCGGATAATGTCATCAGCACACACCCAGAGTGCAACTCATACCTAAATACTTAGTGAATGAGCAAGTGAAATAAGATGAAAGTATTATTCGTGGTAATAAATTCTGATTTATCTGACTAATTTCAAAACCAGTCTGGTTTCAGACTTGGACGACATGTCCCAGAACACAGACACACATGTAGGCGTCCGACACTAGTTGTCCGCCTGGATCCCAAAGCGGCACTTGACTATATCGATCGTGAGGCTCTGTGGTAGTGTTTGTCTTTGAAAGGTATACCAGAGAAACACGTTAACCTTATACAAGCTCACTACTCGAACACTACTGGTCGAGTGAGAGCTTATAACGAACTGTCATCGGAATTCATTACTTCAAGTCGCGTCCGTCAGTGCTGTCCACTCTCTCCATTCTTGTTTAACTTTGTCACAGACATGCTTTCACGGATAACATTATCTCCGCCTGACTTTTCAATGGTGGACCTTCTTACTGACTCAGAATATGCTGATGAAGTCGTATTCAGTGAAGACGCTGACAAAACACAGAATCTTCTGACTACGCTGAACAACAATGCAAGCATGTCCAGGATGCGATTCTCACTGTCGAAATGCAAAATGTTGCTTCAAGATTGGATTAAATCGGCACCTGAACTAGTGATAAGGAGTGAAGCAGTTAAGCGTGTCGACCTCTTCAATTATCCTGGGAGTCTGATCAGTGCTGATGGCCTGATGTGTGACAAAATCTGATACAGAAGACTCGATTGGCTTTTCCCAACTCGCGTTATCTATGGTGCAGGCGAAATATCCGTTTGCTAACCAAAGGACGGGTCTACTACTACGCAGCAGTTCGCTCTGTCCTACTTTATGTCTGTGAAACATGGCCAGTGAGAGTAGAAGATATTCGTATGTTAATGGTTTTCGATCATAGGTGTCTTCGAAGCATTGCACGTGTATCCTGGGACAAACGAGTAAGCAATGCTATGTGGTGCTGTGGTGCGAGCTACTTATAAGTAGTATATGACGTGAGTGTCAACGTAATGTCTGGCAGCCGAAGATGGGGTAAGATCAAGAAAGGAAGGGTTAGAAAACAATGGAATTTGTATGAAACGCATGAACAGTAGTGACAATGGATTGATGTTTTGCAACAGGAACAGTCCAGTTCGATATGATGAACTGTTATTTTGCAAATGAACGATTTACGATATGGTTTTCCAATTTTACTGAGTAACTCTGTAATTTTCGTTAAATACAATTCGGTTGCCCCACCTGTGTTCTCTTCACTACAGCTATAGTTAGGAAACACGTACTAGGTAAGGATAGCAGATCAATGGATGAAGCAGTAAAACTTCATCAGTTGAGGTGGATTGGACGTGTGTCGCGTATGCCTAACCACTGACTACCTCGACGAATGATGTTTTGTGGTGTAAGATTAGATTGGAAGAAAACTAGTGGCGGCCAAACCAAAACATGACAGAAATCCATGAAGTCACTGGCAACTGGGTTGAGTCATGTTGGTAAGTGTCGGCTATCTAGTTGGGGTCCGCGACATAATAGTAACCGATTGTTAGAGACTTTGAATGACGTGACTGAAAATTGTTTGCAATGGTGCGGGTGCATCCATTCTCTATGTTCTATGAAATTCTAATTTTCTTAATTCCTCATGACCATTTTTCTCTTTTTTTTAACTGATTCCTCTGGGGCATACATCTCAAATGATATGTTCGGTCATTAATCTTTTTGATTATTGCTAATACTTCTACTACCTCCACTTCTATGGGATTTGAATTGACAGTTGCTTCCCTGTGGTAATGTGGTTTGGCAACTTGAACTGATGTATGTACGTACGAACTTCTACCTTCTAACTGACTGACTGAATTTGATTGACTTACTATGTATGAATTCGATAGTTCACTTCAGCCTATTACAGCATCACCACTACACAAATATTCACTCCAAATTCAATTTTATTAGTTATTTGAGTCAAGTTTGGCAAAACGTATTTAAATCTTACAATTCCAGAGAAAATAGTTACCCACATAACTATTGTGTTCACTGTATTTTAACTAATGTTTTTAGTTTAGACCGAAGAATCACATTCTGTTTCTTCCTTTGTATTTACTTTACTGTGTAACGTTATTAGGACTAGTACTATTACAATACCTTAGTATAACAAGTTAGCACTGTACCAATATTTATAGGTCCAATTAGGCGTTTCTTCCAAATCACTTGATTGGAGAACGAAATGTATGTATATATTTCTACCTTAAAGATTATGATAATCAAGTCTTTGTGTAGTTATCTAAAGTTATTATGTACGTTGATGATAATTGAATCCTAAAAGAATCGTATCTCTGATTTCAGTTTGTTTGAACGTATCATTTGAAAAGATGAGTTTATGTGAAAGATTTTAAAACACTTTAATATTATTTTTATTCTTGTTAGTACTACTACTACTACTGTAGTGAAGGAGAACACAGGTGGGGCAACCGAATTGTATTTAACGAAAATTACAGAGTTACTCAGTAAAATAGGAGAACCATATCGTAACCGTTAATTTGCAAATCTTCAATCCATCATCAATCAATTGTCTGACATTTCACTATTCATGCGTTTCATACAAATTCCATTGTTTTCTAACTCTTCCTTTCTTGATCTCCCCCCATCTTCTGCTGCCAGACATTACGCCTACACTCACGTCATATACTACTTATAAGTAGCGCGCATCACACTACTACTACGGCTACTATATTATTGTTATTATTATTATTGTTTCTCAAATTAATCGATACTAATTAACTAATTTGTGTTTCAGAAGCTCCACCAGATGCTGTACCAGATCCACAGAATAACCAGTCATCAGGTCCAGGAAGTTCGTCTGGTAGTGGCGGAAGTGGGTTTTACAATTTCTTTGGTTCCAGTTCCACACATTCATCTTCGGATTCAACTGCTACAGAATCTTCTAGTACAGTACCGTCAAAAACTGGATTTCTATTTCAATAGATCCACTATTTAGTTTATGATTCAATAGTAAATTTTGTTTCCCATGTCTTCCGTTCACGCCTGTGTATATATAAACACAAACCTGTTAGTGTATTATTCAACGATAATCACGAATATCGGGATCCCTATAGTTCATCTACATTCCCTTCAAAATCCATCTTGCTTTTACTGTAGTAGTATTCCGCTTTTTAATCGCTATCTTATATTAGCTAAGAAAATTAACTCTTATGAAAATGTATACATTGGGTAATCAGACTGTTCTAAACGTTTTTAGGGTGTTTAAATATTTCTCTTCCCAGCTTCATTCTACTTGTGCCAATGTAGCGTTGTCTGTAGGCTAGTCACTTTTCATGGAAATAAACAACTCAGTATTGAAGCTTGTATCGTGCTCACTATTCGTTTTCATGTTGATTAATTGCTTCATTTTTCTGTCATTTTTACGCATCCTTTTGTTGATACACTTCATATTCTTTAAATCTCTACTTTAAACATTTTAATTTTGTCCTTATTTCACCTACAAGTTAGTCATCAATGTTTGAGCTTTTGCATATGAGAGTAAAATATTAACCTAACCTCAACGATACCATCTTTTCAGCTTACATTTATAAATCAACTTACTGGTTAGTTTTCATTTCTCCGTTTTTGGGAATCTGTTGAATGATAAACAAGTAATTTTTGTATCATTATTGATACTTTACGCATGAATGATATTAGTAACATTTTTGTGGTCTTTTTAGTCAGTCAGCACCAACGTAGAACTTCGTACATACTGACATAGGTTCAAATTGCCATACCATGATAGCGCAGAGATGCAGTTGTCGATTCGAATCCCATAGTGTTAGAGGTAGTAGAAGTATGAGCAGTAATCGGAAAGATTGGGGTTTAAATATGTTATTCAAGCAGTATAATCTTGTGAAACATTTGAAAAGAGAAGGATGGTCATGAAGAATTCATATTAGACTTTGGGGAAACACAAAGAATTGCTTGCACCTGCGCCATTTATAGTCTATTTGAAACTATATGATAGCCAATGTCATAATTAAAAATTTTTTACTGACCTAGAAGGTTTATTTACACGTTCGAACTAGGACCTTGGCGTAGATTCTTAACGGTTCTAATTACTAAAATTTCTTGAATATTAATGAGTATAAATTATTTTAGGAAGTATAATCGTAAAGATGTTAGTTTATAGGCGCTTTATTTCAGCTTAGTATTTATAATTTTCTTACTGTCAATTTTACAATCAAGTGTATAGTGCAAACATATAATAATACTACCATTACTACATGCAATCATCTTAAATCCTAAAGTAATCGAGCTTTGTTATGACTTAGCTATTGCTGCGCAAATCAAGAATATCGATCACACCAGTGAATCGAAGGACAAACTCAATTAAATATAAATACAGTGCAAATGCTCTCCAACGGAACTTGCACTACAACCTTAAAAACTCTTGACCTACCCCTTAACAGCTGAGAAAAGGTAAGGATTCTTTTCCAGCTCCAAAAAAATCGTGTGAGAATGTATACACTTTTGAGGTATCTTGAGAATCAACCGTTGAAAGTGCAAGTTAGATGGCGCTTTTCGATGATCAAAATGGCCTACTTAATTGATGATATTAAAAAATACACTTGATATTCTTGTTTACCATCACAGTTACTGTCCCTAGTCTCTTCTCACTTCATGTTTTGATGAAACAATTTACAAAACTAATTCTGATCAGAAACAGTATTTAGATTACTATCCCTCAAACCATAAAATGTATCACTCATTTAATGATCCCGCCATTTTTAGCTTTATTTAACGCTAAACAATGGATTTTTATTTGTAATGTAAGTTGTAAAGTTAACATTTAAATACTTTACATAGATCTTCACCACGGGTATTTTAGTGTGCTGTTTTCGTAACTGTCCCAAGGACGTTTCTATGATGTGCTTGAATTCATTGTGCTTGCTGGGTGTTTGTAGAATAAACTTTCTACCCTATATCAAGACTTTTCGGTTAGCCATCGGATCAGGGTAGCCTACCTGGACGTTGGTTCATTGTCTCGTTCGCGTTTATCGACTAAGGTAAACCCGTAATAGTTTCAAGCATACCTAGTGAGGAACCTACCAAGTGACGACGGTAGTTTTGGAAACATGGATCCTGCCAAACCTGAATTATTGCTTGAGCAGCAGCTGAAACTGATGCAGATGTTGACAGACATGAAGATTTCCCTTTCCACACAGCCCAGCTCATCTAATGCAACCACAGCTCCATCGGTCGACGGCATCGCAAATAGCATAGTTGAATTTCATTATGATCCTTATGCCAACGTTACTTTTGACATGTGGTCCCGGCGGTATGAAGATTTGTTTAAATTTGATTTCGCCAATCAAGATGATGCTAGGAATGTTCGGCTGCTACTTCGAAAGTTGGGTGCAAGTGAGCTGGACAAGTACTGCGATTTGATCCTGCCTTTGAACTCACGAGACCGTTCATTTTCTGAGACAGTTCAGACTAAGCCAACACTCTGGCGACAACTCGTCACTATTTAATACTCGTTATCGATGTTTGAAGCTAATTGTGAACGAAGATGATGATTTTCTTACGCACGTGGGCATCGTCAACCGTGAATGCGAACGCTTTCGATTGAAGTCTTTGTCCGAAGACCAGTTTAAAGACCCCTTACTCATCTGCAACCTCCAGTCTCATAAGTTCAATGACATAAGAACAAGGCTACTATGTCCCTCGGAGCATGATGCGAAGGTCACCCTTAGTAACATGGCTAATGAGTACCAACGTCTCATTAATCTACAACGAGACACAACTATAGTACAGAGTGGTGGGTCAGGCCGATCTGAAGTGCATTTAGTACAGCAACTACCTAACCAGAATAAAGGTGCCCATGCTACACCCAGTTCATCCCACTCCGGCTCAATCCAAAAGTCAAAAATGAATCCCCCTGCCCCTTTTTGGCACTGCGGCTCATGGAACTATGGACGAAACTGCCCATTTAGGCAACATTGATGCGGGAAGTGCAAGTTCATCGGCCATAAAGATGGTTTTTGCTTAAAGAGAGCTGAACCGATTCAGACGTACCAAGAAGTCTGTTCCTAGATCCGGTACCAATTCATTGAACTTAATGTCTTCTTGCCACTGTCTGCCTTTTGGAGTTAAGACTGCCCAAACTATCTTCCAACAACTGATGGATATTATCGTATCAGATATCTCAGGGGTGGCAGCTTACCTCGATGATATTTTAATTGTTGCTAAGACATTAGAACAGCTATGGGAACGCACGACACTGGTACTACAACGCATCAGTGACAACGGTTTCCGGTTACGCCCAGAGAAATGCCAGTTTATATTACGATTGGTGAAGTATTTGGGACTCATCTTTGTTGCCGACGGCCGCAGAGCGGATTCCGAGAACATCCGAGCTATCAAACTGATGCCCACTCCCACTAATGTCTCGGAATTACGATCTTTACTCGGATTAGTCAGTTATTATTGAGCTCGGAATTGTTATTAACACACTACGATCCATCCATGCCAATCATCGTAGCAGCAGACGCTTCAGCCTATGGCCTAGGTGCTGTTATTTCACATCAGTTTCCAGAAGCGTCAGAAAAAGCCGTTATGCATGCATCCCGTACACTAACCCCAGCAGAAAAGAAGTACAGCCAGAAAGAGAAAGAGGCTCTTGCGCTTGTGTTATCTGACAATCGCAATACGGGCATTATCGGTGTCTGCAGAAGACACACAAAATGCTTCTAGAAACGACCCCATCATCAAGATGACGTTGAAATATGTCACTAACGGTTGACCGTCGAAGAAGTTTGAGGGTGACATGAAGCAACTGTATCAGCGGCGTGATTTACTATGCATCATGAACGACTGTTTGATGTTTGGTGAAAGAGGGGTGGTGCCAGAATCCCTTCGTGCAAAAGTGCTGAGACAGTTTCATCTTGGTCATCCAGGGGTTAAACGTATGAAGTCCATAGCCAGGAGTTATGCATAATGGCCTCTCATGAATCAACATATCACAGCGCTGGTTGAAAAATGCATGCGGCGTCAGCAAGCAGCAAAGATGAATGCCAAAGTTCCGCCGGTTTCATGACCCAAACCTGATCATCCTGGGTCCAGGATACACGTTGACTTTGCTTGTCCAATCAATGGAACTATGTATTTACTTGTGGTCGACGCTTTTTCAAAATGGCGAAGAATCGATCTCGTAATGCCGCTCACGACAACTAAGACAATACAACTTCTCGCTGAAATTTTCTCTCGAAATGGCATGCCAGATGTGATCGTATCTGACAATGGCTCTCAATTTAACTCCACCCAATTCCAAACTTTCTGCCAACCGCCAGCCACTAAACACTTACGTTTGCCACCATACCACCCGCGATCGAATGGGCAAGCGGAAAGGTTTGTGGATGCGTTTAAAAGAGCATAGGTTAAGTCAAAATGGGAGGGGACACCAGCCGATGCGTTACAAGATTTGTTGTACGTCTATCGAACAACACCAAATGAGTTGTTACCGGAGCAAACGTCCCCAGCAGAAATCCTGATGGGAAGAAGACTGAAAACGATCCACAGCTTGATGCATTCGACTAATGCACCAACATCAGTAGGGACAAAGCAGCAAAGGCAATCCTATTACGAAGTGGGATGTCCTGTGTTTGCCCCTGACTACAGAACAAACTATGGTCCTACTGTAGAAGCGTGAGTGGTCAGAAGAGTTGGACGGGTTATGTACGAAGTAGAGGTAGGAGGTGATATAAGGTCACGTCATCGAAATCAGATACGCAAACGGCTAGCCCCAGATCGCCCATCAAGAGCAGTAAATCTTACCCTTGACATCCTGCTCGATACCTTGAAACTACCGGCAGCCCAACCACGAGAAGAAACTCAGCAACAAGCTGTTCTCCGTTCTAGAAGGTGTCCTCTCAGACAGCGACGAACGACAGTCAAGATGCAAGTCGACCCCAGAAGCTCACGCTATTAAAAAAGAGGAGGAGTGTTGGGGATATTTTGAAGTGTTGATATTTTGTAAATGACAAGTTTTTTAAATGACGTTGAAACGAGGATCTGAGTGATGTGAAATAAAAATTGATTTATTGTTCGAAGATCTAGCCCTCATAAGCTTATCTCCTAACTTTTATAAACCAAGCTGAAATGTGTTTTCACATATTGAAAAGAAACGTTAGTTATGAGTCAAATCGTGTTCAACATGGACTGGTAGGTGCACTTACAGATAACCAAAAGAAGATTATCTTTTATTCATATCAGACAACATTTGATGCTTTTAGAAGTCAATCATAGTTCCAATCTCAGATGGCCTTTTTTGTCATATATATATATATATATATATATATATATATATATATATATATATATATATATATATATATATATATATATATATCGGTTACACAATGTTTCAGGAGCAAAGAATAGGGTCAGAGATCAACCTGAATTATTTGCAGCTAAAGGGTACACTAATTTAGTCGGTACTCACTACATCTTAAAAGCCATTTGACTCTAGAGATGATGATCGATTCAACATGTACACATACCAACTCCGTTCAAATTCTTGCGAATTATCAAATTAGAATCTAGAAACAAGTATTGAATACGTGTAAAGCTTTTGATGAGCTTATTTCATGGATGTGATTTAACAGGTGAGGTAAGCCTGAACAGATGAAATCATCATGGTCTTTATGTGTGACTCATCAAA